ACACAAATTCATAATCTTTCTCTCCAATAGTCTTTCTACTAAAATCGCAAACAAATTAGTCATCCCTAATACTAAGATCTTTACCATCACCTCCAAGACAATCGGAAGTATAATTAGGAAGAAAGATAAACCCAACTCTGATTTAAATGCCAGGATTTATCAACTAAATTTTTTTACAATGCTAAGATGTTTATGTCGGGGAGACATCACAAAATCTCAAAGCCCGCATCTATGAACACAAGAGAGACTTGCGTTTGGACAATCGATCTAATTCTCTCGTTTTACATCGAAACGATGCTGAACATAACTTTGATTTCACTAATGCCACCCTCATGAAAAGAAAAAAGGAACATAATTCTTTAAGGAGGAAATACATTGAAAATTTAATAATAACACTATTACCAACTATAAACACACGCCAAAAACATTACATTACATCTTTCTTTAAATCCATTCTTAAAGAATCTACCTTACATCTATCTAATACAGAGAATACATTTTTAAAGTAGCGAGACATAAACTAGAAACTTGCGACTCCTTGCCGCGATTGTTCAGCGCACAAAGGTGAAGATAAAAAAATAACTTGTGAGACACACGCACGCAATTACAAATACACATTACTATCCGTTGCCCACTTAGACATACAAGAACCTTCACAAACCTACATACGCATAGAATTATACACGGTTTTAATACACATGACATGTGTCTGACCACTGAAAATTGACCCAACATAATTGAAAATACGAGAGTTTTTTGTCAGTTTTTTCTCAATCTCTGACAAAGCTTTAATAAAAGCGAAATATGTTAGATTGATATACGTTTCCCATTTGCTCATTTATTTTATCATATATCTATCGATCAATCTAACTCTGTTTCTATCTATCTATCTATCTATCTATCTATCTATCTATCTATCTATCTATCTATCCTTAGTCTGTTCATATATAGTTATCTATCCATCAATCTCATTCTATCATTCTATCAATACAGATCTATCTATCTATCTATCTATCTATCTATCTATCTATCTATCTATCTACGACTTTAAAAGCGCGTCAACCGAACATCGTACATCCTTTCACCACAATCCTTTTTAAACCAATGTGTCAACCGTCGTCAAGAAGACGACTTGACCAAACAGGTTCAAGTGCTATTTAATCTGCATCCACTCACCTATACGTAACGCGTTACGTAAAAATTTGGTGTGGTTAAGTAAACTTTTTGTTTTCATTTTGGGCGTTAACTTTATTGACCAACATATTTACTGTTTTCTTCCACTGGCCATCTCTTAAGCATCTACATAATTCCATCCGCCTTATATATTTATCTTCCACAGCAGGGAACGATTCTCGGTGCATTTTTGGCTCTCCAACGAATGGAAGATTTTCTTTAACGGAATTTTAAAAGACCATAATCTTACTTATTATAAAACGCAGATGTGTGTGTGTGTGTGTGTGTGTGTGTGTGTGTGTGTGTACGTTTATATATTGGATCGGATTTCCTACATTTTTCAACCGATTTCAACAAAACTTCACAGGACTACGTAAAATTACTTTACGGTGGTTCTGACAGCGCCCAAAATTTGAAAAACACAATTGTTTTTGCATGAAATCTATTTGAAAACACGATTAATAGGCATTAATGAAAGGGGGACAACTCATATCGAGTTATACTTATTAATATCGAGTTATCGAGTTATACTTATTATAAAACCCAGGTTGGTTGTTTGTGTGTGTGCGTGGGTGTGTGTTCGTTTATATATGGGATTGGATTTCCTACATTTTTCAACCGATTTCAACAAAACTTCACTTTTTTTTGGCAGGTAGTGTTTCTTATTGTATTGCACACTCTTTTCTTTATTTTTACATTCAGAATGCTTTAAAAATTCCATTTACAAGACAACTGTTTATAATAAAATTCTATTCAATCGGTAGACTCATAACGATTGAAAACAATGTTTTTGTTTGAGTTTGGGTTTGACCAATTCGTAAAAAAAAACAAAACAAAAAAAAAAACTAATTAAGACATGCGTGTCCGTCAACCTTAAACAATAATCTTTGTCAATTTTTCAGTCTTTATGATGGTCGATACTTGATCTATCTCTTACTGTTGCATTCTCGAGCAACGCCGGGCTCTCCTGATTTTTTTTTTTAATATAGTAGCGAAGTGAGAACTTCACAGCTAAGATGAGACAGTCATTTTCGAAAGAAAGATGACATTTGAACTGATTCATAACAAATATTACTACCTCTCTTTTAATTCCAGCTTTTCAATCATTATTCTCTTCAGTTGGTCGAATTAGGAGCACTACTTTTTTGTGTCAATTGTTTAATTCTTTGGGATGAGGTCATAGTAAAATAGGTATGGAAAAAAAACACTATACCTAAGGTTTAAAATGCGTTTTAAAAATCTGTCTTGAAGATTTTATTTTAGTTTTAATTTCAAGCTAATATATTAAATTTAATATGTCCAATAAGCAAATCACTTTGCTACATTTCAAATCAAATTTAAATTGATTGAAATGATATTTTTATTATCACTATTTATTATCGCTAAAATTGTCTATATTGACAAATCTGTTAATATAGTATAATTCTCATTGTAAAGAAACATAAACTGTTTTAAAATTAATTAATCTGAATTAAAACAAATATTTCTCACTTTAATAAATTTGAGATATCACAGAAAAGCATTTTTTAACACGGAGGAGGTGGGTGCTTTTATTATGTGTTGACACATTTATCGATAGCTTAATGTTTGGCATTTTTAAGTAAAGAGAACATAGCTATAAAAATTACTTGACGAATATAACGTAAACACCTTTTTATATAATTTTGAAATTACTTGAATATAACGTAAACGCCTTTTTATATATTTTTTAACTAACCAGTAATCTTTTAAAAATATGAAATAATTCTGGGTAAGCTAATATTTTTTCTAATTATAGGTAGGTTGGGTTTACCTACAAATACTCTAGTTCAGGTAATATTGGAAAATTACCAATAAATTTTGAATTTATTAGGCACGTTGGTGTAATGGATAGCGGCTCGGATTGAGGAATCCAACGAGCCGAGTTCAAATTCCAGTTGTAATCCATTACATTCATTTACGTGCTAATACCCTTGGGAAAGGTATGAATCCTCTTTTCTCCCCTCAGCTATGGGTAAATTGCAGGACAGATTGGGTTCTATAGCTTTGGATAGCAACTGGTCTACTGCAGAAGGAAATGGCAACCTACCGCAGGAAAAAAATCTGCATCGTCAGTCATGTATCGACAGATGTATGATCGCCTAAGCGTGTATCACGCATGGCACATAACTGACTGGCAGTTACAGCTCTTATTTTCTGATAATGTCGTGTATGGAGTCCGTATTTATACATACACAAAGAAATCAAAATTCTTTTTAAAATACTGGAGGCCGCTGAATTTTAGTAAGTTTTTCCATTTATGATTAGTAAATATTGTTTTGATTTAATAATATCAGTTGACCGATACAAATTACTACAGAATTTTAAAAAAATTAGAATTTTATAAATTATTTTTTTTGCAAAATGTAAACAATTCTTGAAAAACTCATCATCGAAAAAAATTTTTTAAGACAATTGTATCCATAATATATCATATTCATCAAAGCAATTAAAAGCATTTTTAATTATATTTAATTCCCCTTATTCTTATTGAAATGTCTTATTGAAATTTTCATTTTACAATTTGGATCAGATTTCCTGTAACTGCGAGTCCTGTTTGACCAAAATAAAATAATGATCTAAATTCTCCGAGGACTTGTCCTTATAACTAATATAAGCCTTTAGCGCTACAAAAAAGAAATTCGGAATTTCATAAAATTAAATGTGGGGCAACAAATGTAAAAAACAAAATATAACAGAATTTTCTAAATAAAGAAGACTTTTATAAACGTTATTCTTAAATAATTTAATTCCTTTGAGAATAAGTCCTGAACGTTTCATTAAAATCTGATAATTATCATATTTTTGCAAGAATTTCCAAATTTTTCACCGCAAAAAGATTTTTCTGTACAACTTTATGGCCACCCTTTCACGACAGATAAACAAAATTTCGAAGGTTCTAAAATGGATTCAAAAATATAATTTAATAATCAAAAAATCCTTTGGTATTTCCACTTAATAATAACATAAAGATTTTGACAATAAAACTTTGTTTTTTTATTAATTTTGGGCCATTTTTTCACAATGCCTGCTCATTTTTTAACGAATCTTTGCAGGTACTTATAGTAAAGGGTCCCTTTCCAATCTCATGTACATTCCTTCGATGATGACAATCCTATGCTCCCTAATTAGCGAAATGTACACGGAAATACGGTTAGTAGATATGCATCAGTTATTTTATGCGGAAACAAAACTGGTGTAAAAATACATTTTTAACGCTAGATATGATTAGTTTAAAGTACATTCGCATAAATACAATAGTAAATACTGTATGTTGGTCTGCAGTTGGTAGATATCCTGCAATTGGTGATTCGTCACCAGCTCTGCTGGTCAAACTCTCTGCCTCTCAGATAGGATCCCCAGACGAGGCTATGTCGAAGGGCAGAGTCTCCTCTCGGGAAACAGCTATCCGACTTCGTTATATATTTTGTCTACGGGGAAATTTTGGCCGAGCCTAGGGACTCGCATATCCCACCTTAAATTCCGCATTCTGCGTATGGAGCTGTTGGTAGATATCCTGCAGTTGGAGATCCGCCTCCAGCTGTGCTGGTCAAACTCTCTCCCTCCAGGCAGAGAGGTTTCCCAGACGAGGCTATGTCGAAGGGCAGCGTCTCGTCTCGGGAAACAGTTACCCGACCCCGTTTTATACTATTGTCTACCGGAAATTTTTGGCCGAGCCTACGGGCTCGGATACCTCACATTAATTTCAGCATTGTGCCCCATCTGACCGCGTCGGGCGGTTGGTAGATATCCTGCAGTTGGAGATTCATTGTGGAATTCACTTGACTAACTTCTAGCTGTTGACAACTTCTTCTACGCGCCGCTGGCGAATCTTATATGTGTTGTTCATGTCCTAAGTATTATGGGTCATTACCAACCTTCGTTTGATTATTCTATTCAGTAACCTTCCCCAGGTTACAACAGTAAGCCTAGTGGAGTAATGGATAGCGGCTCGGCGTGAGGAATCAGAAAGTCTAGTTCGATATTCCAGTCGAGTTTCTTGCGTTCCCTTACGTGAAAAAGCCTTTGTGGAAAGTATAAATCCATCTCTTCGCCTTTTCTCTAGAAGGATCGTAGATTTTACTGATGGTGTGTCTTGATTTGATCACTATCAACCTTAATTTGTCTCCTTGATTATAGAAAATCGTTTAACTAGAAATTTCCAACATCGCATTTTTCAAACCGTTTTTGACACGTTCGATCAATCACAGAACCTTCTTCATAAAATTCACAAATCTTTTGAGCTGTATTTTTACATGTCTAGCAATGAAAAAACATAAGGTGCTGAAAGTGCAGCGTATTTCTCTTTCATTCTCTATACTAGAAGCAAGTGGAGAACTGTTGTCATATTTAGGCTCAACGATCACTTTCCAGCCTTGATAGAATGCAAAATCATTTACACGGATATGAAGAGAAAGGGCTTATTCTCTCGTCTGTAGTCTCTTTCACATAATTGAAAACGTTGCAAGCTTTTCACAACTCTATCGCAATTTTTATAACATATGTTCAAGTGAAATGCATTCTTTAGTTCCACCAGGGAAAACCATTTTAGATAGCACGCGCCATGCGTCCACTGTCTCGTATCACTCTTATTTCCTCCGTGTTCCAAAAGTAAAAAAAATAATTCTACTCAGATTTTTTCACAAGAACTTCCACTTTGTGAAACGGTCTCTCGCGTGGATGTTTTCCTGAATAGTACAATCTACAATCAAGTCAAGTGGCAATAATGCTCTGTCCTCCTTCTTCTTATAATTCACCGAAGTTAAGCAACGTCGAAACTAGTCAGTACCAAGATAGGTAACAGCTTGAGAATACCAGATGCTTTAAGCTTGAATGTGCGGGTGGTGCAATGGATAATAGCCCGGTTCTAATTTCAGTTGTTTTCGTTATATTCACTTACGTGCAGATA